TGTCAGAACAAAAATATGAATAAATTTCAGACACATTCTTCATTGTTTATAGTTTTGACAGATGATATGAATGTGCACAAAATTTTCATTGCTTAGGAACTGTAGTAACTACCAATGTAAAATCCAGAAACAGGGCCCAATTTACAACCAATTGAAGGTGGGCTAATTTTTATGAAAAGTTAAACACCAAAGCCCAACAGGGTGACATAAGCCTGTCATCCCAGGTAATTGGGAGGCTCAGGTGGAGGACTGAGGCAGGAGGAAAGCTTGACCTCAGGAGTTCAAGGGAAACATAGTGAGACGCAAATACCAAAGACAGTGACTCTTGAGCAGGGCCATTTTCAATTCATTTTGCTAAACTGGCAAATTCAAGGTAATCTTTGTTTATAGGGAAAATAGCAATACATATCTAATTCAAACAATATGAAGCTGCATATTTTGAACATTACTTTAAACATGATTTTACATAGATTATTTAAATACTCATTAAATAGAGAATATTGCTTAGTTTTTCCTGCATTGTCTCAGTTTATGTCCAAATCTATTTGTTGCAATATTGATATTAGCAACGTCCAATCACCCATCTTCAGGTATTCATTCACACCTCTGTGTTAATTTCATTACTTCCTTCAAGCCATCTTACATTTGGATCAGGTTTGAGATAGATAAAAGTGTGGCCTTCTGGAACATTTCTGTTATTGACCCCTTAACCTGTGATGTTGTGGGAAGAGTGTGAGTCGACGAACGTGGAAGAGAAGGCGGCCGATTCTTTCAGTATGTTCTGGAGGTAGAACAGATATTGTTGGAAATTGTACACGAAGGGAAGCTCACTCATCCAGCGCATGGAATTTTCTTCCGCACACATTGCAGGTTCATTACTTCCTCACTTCCCTTGATGCGATCAGTTAGAAGCCTCCTTCCTCCCTTTATCTTTCCTTTCTGCAAATTGGAGAACCAGGGGATGAGACAAGAAGGAGTGAAGCCCAGCTTACCCTCGGAGGAGGAGTACACTTTCATTTGTTCTCCCGAAATGACTCACTTCCCCTGAGATCCAGCCAGAAATGATAAATGATTTGAAAAATCATTAGAAGAGAAACTCTATGCTCCCCACCCCCTGGACCGAGTCTGAGTTTGAGGAGCCCGGATAGAGTTCTTTCACTGTCTGCGCGGGTTCTTTGATTAGCGGGCCTCAGTCTCCGTCGATTGTTGGCCGAGAAGGTGACTGTGCACGATCTGTGAGTACATCTGCGTGCGAGTCCGCGACCTCACAGAGCAGAGAGGAATCGCGGCTCTGGATCTCTTTCTCCTCCAATCCTGGATTTACAGCTGCAGCTCCAGACCAGGCAAGGAGGAGGTTCGCGAGGGCGCAGTCATCAAATCCCGGCCTCCTGAATTTACTCCCGTAGCCCTTGTAAACTTATACTGGTTATAACTTATTATTTTCATTAACTCGGATTAGAGGGAGGAGCAAAAAGAGTAGGTACAAGGAAGGAAGAAAGGTAGGGGTAGCGAGGGCGGAGAGAGGGAGCCCTAGTTCAGGTAAGCGGCGCTGTGATCAGAGCGATATCTGTTATTTAGGTCCCCAATTAAGATATGTCTCCTTCCCAAATTACAAAGTAACACAGCCAAGTGCCCTCCTTGGTGGTTGGATTCAGCCATTACTCACCGACTCCCCCTCCTATTTCTGTATTTCTCTCGTTCAGTTCAGTTAGTCTTTTAGCTATAATAAAAGTCTTTTTATGTGTGGGAAGGAAGTCTGGATTCCGTTTGGAAACTCTGGGACCACCAGTTGCACCCCGAGTTCAGAGGCCAAGAACACACTTTCCTAATGACAGGACTGGTCGTCTCCCTGTATGAGGTCTCCGTTCAGGCGAAATCAAATGTAAGAGTAAAACCTCTTACAGTGATTGTCAAATATAAGAGAAAAAAAAAGAAGAAAAAAAATATATCTAGAGAATGAAGTTCTGCTGTGTGGGGCTTTTACCTATGGAACTTAAAAATAAACACTTGTTTATAAATACAACTATCTTATAAATCAAGTAAGATGAAGTAGCAAACTACACACGCATACATCAAGTATACAAAGTTGTGTATAGTGTGTACTGAGGGATCTGATTTTTTTTAAAAAGAATCTTTCTTAACTGTCCATTTTTAAACTGCACCAAGAAAAATAGAACGGATGTATTGTATATGGACACACCAGGATCTTTGCCCCTCCCTTTCTCTCCAGGTCCCTGAGATGGACCCATTCCTGAGGTGACTTTTTGTTTTTTTTTTTAACAGAATCCCGCTGGTCTTTCCTGCAAGAGGCCTGTTTCAGTTTTAAAACTTTCTTTAATGTAGCTCCCACTTGAAAAAGACATTTTTTCCCCCAAAGTGTCAGGCGGACACCTTCCCGCATACATAGATCCTCTCCCACGTTTATATACGTGCAGGTGCACATGCGCACGTACACATGCATACACGGCCACGTGCACACCGGCGCACTAACACGCACACTGGTACATTCACATTCAAAAGCGAACGTTTCCTCCCACCAGTACGCGTCTTTCTCCCATTTTGATTACTCGAAAAGCGCCAGGGTCTAATTCTGTCGCAGCTGGAGCACGCCCTAAGGTTGGGAACAGGCCTTGTTAGCACGACGGCTTCGCCATCGTTTTGAAATCCGTAACTCCCCGCCAATTTGCGGTGCTTTCTTCCTGTGCCCAGGAGAGGTTCTTTGCCCCTTCTTTAGGAACCAAGGTAAAGGTGCGCTGCAGTCTGCCACTCACGGCTCCACCCGGTCGGGGGCAGCTGGTCCAGCTCACTTTGGGAATTTGAGCCTGGATTCACTTAAGTCCGGGGAAGCAAGCGGTGGTGAGGCCCTATTGCTAAGGTTCCCCAAGCCATGCGTGGGTGGGATTAAGGGAGCTAGAATTTTTGTCCTTCCAGGGCGACCCTCGCACTTTAGGAGTATTTCTTAGTGCTTGGACGCAGTTTCGGTGAGCAAGGCTTTCCAGCTTGTTTGTTATGTGGACATTAAGTACCAGATTTCTGCGAGGTTTGGGATTTGCCCCTCTAGTTGCTCCAGGAGAAAAAGGGAGAGAAGTGGAGGAGGAAAAGAGGACTTTTTATCCAGAGAGCGCCATGCAGGCCCCATGTAAACTTCTTACATCAGTTTAAACTGCAGGGCATAGGGACTTGCGTCTGGAAACCGCGTTTGTCCCTGGCGGTTTCTCGGAACCAGCAGCTCCTCCTCCTCCAGCTGCTGGACCATAGTAGGCCCTTAGGTTTCAGCAACTCCACCTCTGGACCTCAATGCCCCCAAGCTCGACTTGGAGAAGAAACAGTAGCTCTTCCTCAGGGTCACAGAGAGCCTGGTTTTGGAGGGGGCTCCTGTTCTCACTGTCAACTGAAAGTGACTTCAGGCTCCCTAGCCCCCAGATGCCTAAAGAGTAACCTCCGGCCACATCTGCCACCCCTCCCCCCTTCCCAGTCCAAGCTCTCCCTGCCGCCTCTTAGCTCTCTTTCATCACTTCTTGCCCTCCACCAAACTTCAGAAACAGTGTTTGCACTTAATTTTTTAAGGGCATAATATTGTCCTGGGACACCGCTTGAATTTGGGTCCCCCTTCGTCTCCAAACCAGTGACTAAGATTTTCTTTTGAAATGCAAAACAGACCCTTCCCGTTGATGACGTTTCTTAAGCATTTGAAGTGGCCTTGTCCCCAAGGATATTAGGGAGTCCTTTATGATCTTGAGACAGCTAGGCTCGCCAGGGCGGCCTGCACGTGCCTCCGGGCACCGCCTGCTAGGTTTCTGCTCCTCCCCCGCTGTCCAGTCTTGAAGAAACCACTAGTTACCGAGCTCCATGCAGCAAAAAGATTGGTCCCAATGTCGAAGCTATTTCCAAAAGCTACTCTCCTGATCGCTTATAGAGAAGTCAGAAAAAAATAGGGCAGTTAATGTTGCGGGGGTTTAATTGGACAAGAGAGAAAAAAAACAAAACGATTATTAATTGTGTGTTTTATATCAAAGGGTAATATACATCTTGAATTTTATTCTAAGATTTATGTTTACACAAAACACGGTTTTTGTTGATCTTAAAAGTTGAGTTGAAACTACAAAACAAACGGTACATACATATTTGTCATTCAACTGAAAAGTCCTATTTTCTCTTGCGTTTATTTTAAGGAAACAAGTTGACCCTTAAAAAATTAAGAAAAGTGGCACTTTTTAGATCAGGAAGAATATAAAGTTAAGTCACAGAGAAAGTTTTTCAAGCGGCAATCGAGTTTTAAAATTTATTTTATTTGTGAAGTTTTAAAGGGTTTAAAGGTTAAATTTATAATATAAACACATACAGAATTAAAATTCAATGACCTATTTTAAAATAACTATCAAAAGAACAAGGGGTCTACAAAAAAGGGGGGATGATTTTCCTGGTAATTTATATGGGCGACTGAGTGATAGATAATGTAACATTGTATTCCTAAATGTAGGTGATAAGTATTTTTGAACCTGTCACCAATAAGAAAAATCCACGGAGTAAAATTTGAACCTAATGCTATGCTCTGCACAGAGCGGGCGCTACTAAACGCGGGAATTTTCAAAAGAGAAACGACCGACTGGTGGCTGTGAATTCTCTCTACCTCCCCAAATATTCCGAGTTGTAGCAACATAAAGTCATAAGAATGTGGGACCGGGAATTAAGACTCCTGTAAAGATTCTAGATATGCTAACTTGTGGTTTTCTCAGTTTAAAGACAGAAGACTCCGCCTTTCCAGGCCCTGGCGAGAAAAGCTGGAGATTACGGGCCTGGACAAGGCTTGTGGGAGGCAGCCAGAACGATAGGGTTCAGCCAACGCTAGGCTGGCACATCCAAGCCAGATGGCGGCGCTTTTCACTCCACGTTTTTTGCTACCTTGTAAGGAAGTGGGCGCGGGCAAAGCGGAGTCGGTGCCTCCCGATTGGCTATCTGTCTCGGGGATTGACAGGTTCCTAGGCTCCGCCTCCACTGCTTTATTGACACTAATGAGCAAGTTCTTCCCACCGCTCTCCTGCCTGGAAGTGCTGACAGATCAAGGCAACAAATTTCAATTACAATCCCTAATTTGTGTCCGCAGAGTGTTTTTTACCCATGTTAGCCCTTTCTGGCGCATCAGTCGAGGCAGATCTTGGAGCAGCAGGAGGAGGTGGAGGGGGTGGGAGCGAAGGAGTGCATCAGTGAGAGAGCGCCAGAAAGACTGAGGGAAGGAAACTTGGCCGTCTCGTCGCTGGTTCCTCGGATCCCAACACCAGCGAGAAAGAGGAAACGACAAATTTCTTTTTGCCCGCGGCAGGGAAGGGGACAGATACCGAAGACCCCCCCAAGAACTGTTCCGTTTTTTGGTGGGGCAAGGAGAGCGAGTGTGTGCGTGTGCCCGCGTGAGTGTATATGAGAGAGGGGCGGGCGGGCACCGGGCGGAGGGGATGGCCGAGAAGCGAAGGGGCTCGCCGTGCAGTATGCTAAGTCTCAAGGCGCACGCCTTCTCTGTGGAGGCGCTGATCGGCGCCGAGAAGCAGCAACAGCTTCAAAAGAAGCGGCGAAGGTTGGGCGCGGAAGAGGCGGCCGGGCCCGCGGACGACGGAGGCTGCAGCCGTGGAGGTGGCGCGGGCGAAAAGAGCTCCTCAGAGGGAGATGAAAGCGCTGCGCACCCACCGCCAGCTGGAGCGGCGTCCGGGCCAGCCCGGAGCTGCACAGACTTGGAGCCGAGCTGTGGGTCCCGAGGAGCTGCTGGTGAGTCGGCCCCTTCCAGCCCAACTTCTTTCCGGCGCTTCTCAGGTCCCGCCCGCCCGCAAGGCGGCGGCGAACCTGAACTGAGAATCTGTCGGTGTGTATGCGCGCGGGGTCCTTAATTCAGTCAGGAGCGCCTTGGCCTTGGGTGTCAGATACAAGGCTCCTTCACAACCTGGCCACCCTAGATACGATTCAAATGCAGCTTCCAGCCTCGCCCAGCAAGCTGCCGCCGCCCACTCGGCGCGTCCAGCACGGACAGCCGCGGCGGTTTGCCGAGCGCGGAGATGCCAATTCGTGCTTTTCTCTGCTGCCTCCCTTGGGGTTCCAGCCAATGGGTGCTCCTTTTTCTTTCCTAAGTTTTAAAAGCCTGGGGCGGGGGGAGGGTAGAGCGACAGCATAACCCCCCCGAAACCGGAACGAATGCCCTAAACCGTTGGTTTAAACCAGGAAGAGGGCGGCGTATTTGCAAAAGTGGTTTCCCCGGGGGTAGCGGAGCGGTTCCCTTCCCTATCCGTCTGGATTCTCTGGCCAAGGCCGACGGCGATCGCTCGATTGCTTTTTGCGCTCTTCTCGCCGCTTTGCTGCTGGGCTTGAAGCGCTGAGCGTCCGGGAGCGGGGTCTGAAAAGGTTCCTGGAAGATGCCTCGGGCCGAGCCCAAAGCGAGACGCCTCAGAAGCCTGTCGCGAAGGGAGGCCCCCGCATTCGCGACTTGGGGCGGGGGCGCCTGGCGCTTTGGCTGCAAGCGCTTCGAGGAGCGGGTTCCGTAGGAGGCTGCCTTCGGACTGTACCCCGGGACTTGTGTCAGACCGTCGGGCGTGTGTCCTACATCCTGCGGCAGCGCGAAAACTTTTGGGGCCTTGCAAAGCCCCTCCCCGGGGTTCTGGATTTGTGGGTCTGGAGGGCCGAGCGCCCCGCCGGGGCTGAGAGGCACGTCTATCGATGGGGCAGTTCGCTCGGTGTCCCCGAAGGCACTTGAAGATTCCCCTTTTCCCTCAGTACTTTTCTTCTCAGACACCCACCGAGGGGTCCCCCTTTCCGAGCGGCTTCCCCTCGGGAGCCCTCACCGGTCCTTTCTCTGCCCTTTGCTGTCCAGGCGGCTGTGAGGACGGCTTTCTGCCGGGCGCTTCCCCGCTGGCGTCCCCTGGAGGCTCCCCAAAAGGGTCCCCCGCGCCTGTCCTGGCCCGGCCAGGGACCCCGCTGCCCTCTCCCCAGGCGCCGAGGGTAGATCTGCAAGGAGCAGAACTCTGGAAGCGCTTTCACGAGATTGGCACCGAGATGATCATCACCAAGGCGGGCAGGTAAGGGGCGAGCTGCAGCGGACGCCCCCACCGACCCGGACGGTGGCTTCACCCAGTCCTCGCCCGGGTACGGAGAAGGGCCTGCAGCGCGGCGGGAGCTCTGGGTCGCCTTTTCAGACACATGCGACAAGGCCCAACCATAGTTCACTTTTGAGGCTGACTTTCCTATTTATCACCAAAAGCAGTCGGTGAAGGGCTCAGCCTGGCCGCCCACTTGTTAGTGCCAGGAGAAAAGCGTTGTCGCCGCTAATGCCTCAACTATCGCGGCTGATGTTCCTCACGCAGGGCCGATAGAGATTCGAGGTCATATTTACGTCGAACCAGGTATTTATTTAGGCTCCAGTTAACAGTTCTGGAAACAGGGAGTACATTCTTCTCCTTCCTCTTTTAAAGTTTTAAAAACCGTTTACTCTTTAGCAGACTATGATCTGCCTTTTCAGATTTGAAACTTCCAGGTTGGTTCTTTCTCAGATTTCCTGGCACTGAGAACATGATGTATTGTGCTCTTTTGTTATTAGAATAGGATGAAAAATCCCTGAAATTATACAGTAATATATATTCAATCATGTATAGCTGTAAGAATAATTACCCTGATTTTTAAAAATCCTTTTTGTAAACCTACAGATATGGGGTTAAATATTTTTTTCCTAAATAAAGTCCAACACATAGCCTTAATTTTCAGAAGAAAAATAAAAATCTGTAAAAAATTATCTTTTTTAAGTATGAAATTTTCATATCCATCAGTAAAATAAATGGATTTGTTGGCTAGATCGTATTATTTGGAAGGCAGACGAAGAGATATTTGATATTCACATTTAAAATTTTCAGTTCATTTAGTGCAATGAAATCTATTAATGATATGTTCCTTAAAAGGAACTATAAAAAAGCACACACAACTCTTTCAGGGAGTACACATGGTAAAAACCTGGATAGCATAAAAGTATCCGAACTTATTAGAAATTACAAAAACATATTTTATTGAATCCATATGCTACCTTCTACATTTTCACAGAGCTTTTATTAATGATCCAAATTCAGTTTTCAACAACACAAAGCAACAGTTGTCTTATAAAGGATGTAGTTAAAGACCTTTACTCTTTATCTTACAGGTGCACTGAAATAACATTAAAACAGTCTGCATATTAAACTGTTCTCATGCTTAGTTAAGAATAATGGACTTTCCTTTCTCTGAAAGTGGTCTTTACTAGCATTATTGTTTTAGAAAAAAAATTGGTAAATAACTACTAAAATTTGTTATAAAGCTAAATTAGCCAAAATTAGATTAATTGAAAGTCCTAGATGTAAATCAAAGATGAATTTTTTAAAAAGGAATTTCTGTATTTTTAAAAAATATGTAAAATAAAATTTGCTGTTCTACTTCTTGCTGCTGTGCCCTTTTCAAAGGATAGGTACCTTTTGATATATATCTCTGGGAAGCCAAGAGAAATGGGGATTTCATTTGTTTTAATTAGTGAAGGGTTGAGTAAGATTGGTTAAAATAGAAAGCATTTTTAAGGTGTGATGGGGGAAGGAATTATTTGGTAAATATACATTGTGTTTAGTTTCTGCTTTCAATAAAGAAGTTTTACTATAGCTTTCAAATTTAGAGTAACTTTTGCACTTCACCTCTACCATGCTGCAGACAGGAAGTCCTGTCTCAATAAAGAACATATTGTTTGGTTATAGCATGGCACATTGGCTCCTTGTGGTTTTTTATAACCCCCTTTAAAATTTCACATTATAATATATTTTATCACTTTCAGAAATTTGGAATTTCTATTTCTACCATTTGGTCCATTTTAATATTTGTATTATTAAAGTAAATATGCTTACTGTCTTTGTTTTAAGAAGTGAAGTGCTTGCTTTCTTTAGTGCCATCACTCCCTCAGTGTAGGAGTAGTTCTTTTATTTTTAGCTCTGTTGACATTTTAATAAACATGGAGCACATGCACACAGAGTGCAAAAATTACGTTCTGAAACCTTAGTTTAAATATGTTCTATGTTCTGACACTTTGAATTGCATTAACGTAAGGAAAGCTATGAATTTGACTGCATTAAAAATAGAGATTAGAGAAGATATTTTGCTTTAATCATTTCTCCATTCTTAATCACAAACAAAAACAAAACCCAATCTACTTTCTCCTTTCCCTTTTAAATAGACGCATGTTTCCAGCAATGAGAGTGAAGATCTCTGGATTAGATCCTCACCAACAATACTATATTGCCATGGATATTGTGCCAGTGGACAACAAAAGATACAGGTACAGTGATTGGATACATGACAATAAGAAAAATTGTAGGACTTTGTAGACTAGTGCCTGTTTCATTTGTGACTACTATGAACATTGTTTCTAGATCCATAGTCCATTGTCCATGGATTTCAGCAGCCCAGATGATGTCTTCTCTTTCAGGAAAATGTGGAAACTGAATTTTTGTTTTGTTTTCAATAGATATAGAAATGTCTTCAAACATTGAAGACTTTTAATAGGGACCCATATGGTATTGCTAAACAAAATATTTTTTATAAAATAGTTGATAAACTAAATGTATTTTTTACATTGATTCATGTTTCAGTTAGGATTCTGAGAGGAAATGTTAAGTAAAGTTTGTAGATACACATTATAAATTTTCTTGATTTTTAAAAAAATTCACATTAATTTCCTTTATCTTTTTATATTCAAAATTATAAATGTTTATAGGCCTTTTCCATTTAATATGAGAAAATTATCTAAGATTTTCTATAAAAATGAAAAATAAAATTTTTATAATTCATTTATATTAAGGCATCTCTAAACTGGCAATGAACTGTTACCTTTTGGACTTCTTTGGTTGGTAGTTAACAATTTTTAAAAACATTTATAATACTTTCATTTTGAAAGAGTACATTTATCTAGACATTAGGTAAACTTTGAAAAGATGTGTGTTCTTCAGTTTCAAACCAAATTTTGTTCTTTTTTTCTTTTGTAAGAAAGTAAATCAGCTGTTTTAAATGGCAATGCTTTTTGTTTTTCTGAAGAGTTAAAAACACTAACATTTCAAAAAGGAAGTTTTGAGCATTGGAAGATTAGATGATGGATGCTGTTTAAATTTTGCTCCTCTTTGTTTCTTTTTAAATAGAGTGTTTAGTAAGTTTTAAAGTGAAATCAGATTTGTTTTTCCTCACTTAAAAATTTAGGGAGTTGTTTTTGCAGAATAGCTTTATGATGTCAAAAGTATATAGATTTCTGGGGTTTGAGGTTGTGGCTCAGTGGTAGAGTGCTTAGCTTGCACACGTGAGGCACTGAGTTCAATTCTCAGCAACACATTAAAAAATAAATAAATAAAACAAAGGTATTGTGTCCATGTTGAAGTAAAACAAAAATTTTTTAAAAAATATACAGATTTCAATTTATATAATGGCATATATGAAATACTACAAAAATGGATAATAGGAAGTTTTATTCCAGTTTTGTGTATAAGTTGTATTTTATACATTTATTGACTTAATTTTAATTATTTAATTTTAACTTATTTTAATTTTAATTGATTTTAATTAAAATAATTCATTAGGAAGTTTTGCTTAAATTGTTGCATAACAGAAGCTAGAAAGCATAAAAGCTTATTCTTTAAATGTGCTTGATTTAAAACTCATATGCTAATTTGTGCTTTGTGCAGAGGGAGATAATCTAATTCTTAATGAGCTAGGAAATTATTCCTTTCTCTTCTAAGTTTGTATCCTACCTATTTCTTCCTCCGCATCTCTTCCATATATTTTAGATGTTTTATTTTACTTAATTCATTCTTATCTAGTCTCTCACAGAAAGTATGAAAAATTTACATATTATTATGATGATGTTAGATTTTAAAAGATCCAACTGTAAAACATAAATTTGCTTTCACTTTTGTTACTCCCTAAAAAGAAAGTTGTATTTAGCATATATATTTAAACTCTTTTATGAAGAATGTGTAACATGTAGCATTTATCCTCTTAATGACTATGAAGTCTTAAACTACGTGATATATATAATTTTGCAATATTTTGATAGAGAATATAACTCTATTTTGGTAGTAATGTAGTCATATCTACAGTGCAGTGTTTGCTCGCATTTCTAAGATTTCCTTTTTGCTTTCAAACTTTCAGTAATACTAAAATTTTTTTCACTTATTCTTTGATGTCAAGGACTGGTGGTGTTTGGTCAAGTTAAAATGATTGCCCCTTATCACAATGTAAAACAAGTAATCACAAAATACCAGAATCAGAAACTTATTTATTAAAATAATGTACCAACTAAAGAAATGTTTTAAAAATTACTCATAATTTTTTGCTGATGCATTTTCCCAAGAAAAGGAATTAAATTATAGAAGGCATTGAGCTCAAAAAGGCATGAAATGTCACCCTACTTAAGACAAAGAGTCTCACCAGAGATGTGATGAAAATGTTTCCTGCTGTGTTTAAAAGCAATTTGTGCATTACACAGGTATATAAATTATATACCATATTTTAATACTCAAAGGTAATAAAAACATCTAGGACAATTTCATTTTATACTCTTTCATCACTGACACACTAGTTTCTAATTTTTAAATTTTAAATTAATATTAATAAATTACTGTCTGAATATAGGTTTAAATTTTAAGATCTTATGTTTAACTTGAAACATTGTTATTTAAATGTATTCTTACTGAATCCTATATATTTGGTATGTATAATTAAACAGCATAGGATATTTTGTCTATTAGAAAAGTAACATTCATCGGTTATACCATCATTTTCAAAGTATTATTTATATCTTGATTAGTGGTATTTGGAAACTACTTGAAATAATTTTCTTACAAGAAAGAGAAATATCAGAGGTGAATCAGGGTCTACATTTAATATTATTTAAATTTAAAAAATTAAACTGAATATTTTATCCTAAATTTATAATGTCATAACATTAGAAAAAATTCTAAATAACAGATAAGACTGTTTTCCTATCAAAATATGATAATTTCCTCTCACCTTTCTATTATCTATCCCACCAGATTGTACATAGCCTAAAATGGGAAATGATCTTTAAGGAAGTATGATACTTTAAGATAATTGTCAAGTATTTTGAGATTTACTAAAAGATGATGTTGACAACTTCATAGTTTCTTCATGTCAGATGAACAGTGGAAAATATCACATTATAGATAGAATTTCTAATGTAAGTGTGATTCATTAGAATTAAGTTACTTGAGTTTATGGGGGTGATAGTGTGCATATTTTTCACTAAGCTCTTAATGTCCTACTTACTGTGAGTTGTCAGTAGGCTCCTGAAACTTCAGAAAGTTTTTGAAAAGCACTTGAAGGCTTATTCTGGGTATAAAGAAGAAACAAATTTATTTTAGACATTAAGTGTGCACATTTGATCTGATACAGTTGAGCTGGAAATTCCAAGAAATAAATAGTCCATAATCTGAAAATCCTGTCTTTGCCTTGTAGGTATGTTTACCACAGCTCTAAATGGATGGTAGCAGGTAATGCTGACTCCCCTGTGCCACCCCGGGTGTATATTCATCCAGACTCACCTGCCTCCGGGGAGACTTGGATGAGACAAGTGATCAGCTTCGACAAGCTGAAGCTCACCAACAATGAACTGGATGACCAAGGCCATGTGAGTAGATGGCCTCTGTAATACACCACCATTGGATGGCATAGCCAAATCTATGCTGTGTCTGACTGAAGGAAATGGACACTTCTAAGATCACAATATTACTTTCCTGGTTGATCAGCATGTGCATAATCTGTCCAAAAATCAAGATTATATTTGCATCAGAGACTATGCTTTTGGTTTTGAAGTATACTATGAAACATATAATAGGTTAAAACTAGATACTGCATTTGTATTGGAGAGAAAAAACCCAAGGCAGAGCCTTTATTTTAGCCAAAATATTTGTGTGAATCTCAAGAGGTGCTAGTTATTATATTCTAAATATAAATACTACTTAGGAGTTGGGTAAATGAGGATAATGATTTATTGTATCCTGCCTGCAGTCACTTCTTTTCTCAACAGAGGCTCATTGCTTCTCAGTACTAGCCCAGGCTTTTGCTATTTGTGTGTCCCATCTGCAAGCTCCCAGTTGTTTTATAATGACATCTAATATGTCAAAATATGTTATAACAATAATTCCTTTTGTTCTTAAAACTGGTTAAACATGATATGTAAATTAAAGTTCAGCCATTTCAATAATACAGTCATTTTTAACACCTTATTAATTTTATGCAGCATGGTTCTTATGCAAGATTTCTATTTTATTATTTTAATAAATAAGTAACCCTGGATTTAAGCTGATTTCTGTTCAAAGCTAACATTTCTATTAGGTTTCCATTATTTGAGAATGATTTGATTGATGCAGAACTGAAATGCCTTAAAGAACACATAATACATAAAAGGAAGAGCAATGTGTTCATTTCTCAAAGGAGTGACATAAAGATTGCATATTTATGAGCAAACCTTTTAAAACAAAAATACAAACTCATAAATTATAATACAGTGATGACAGGATATGGTTTGCAAGTTGCTAGACAGTGTCTTAAACACTTTACCTTAATGAAAACCTTTGAGAACTAATTTCATTATAGTACATTTGCAGTGTCTAGATTTTCAGGACACATCTAGTAAAACCTCACATTGGTAGTGCTTTTGTTTATTAATTATTGCCTTTTATGATTTCAAACAGAATCAGAAAAAATAATATAAATTTCTTTTCTGAATCCAACTTCATGCCCTACATTTTAGTGCATTATTTTATTTTCCTTCTTTTTATTCTTTGTGCTTATTTCTACAATTTAATATAGTCAAGTTGTAATGAATATTCTTCATTTCAGTTAAAAAAAACATAGATTTCTTCTTTCTCATTATGGGAGCTGTCTGTGAAATGTTGGTATGTTGGTAGCATATTCATTGAGAGTTCCTTTTTAAATTTTTCTTTGTACAGGAAATTTTAGAAAAAATGTCACTTAGCATTAACTATTTTGGAAACTTAAAAGTAGCTTACCCTTTCTGAGTTTTCCTAGTATAAGAATATATCTTCTGAAGTGATTATTGGATCCAAAAGCTATTTTACTGTCGTATATAAAGTACAAAACTTCTAAAGTCAATAAATCCTTTTATAGTTCTGATTCTTTCAGTCCAAATTACTGGCTTTATATCCAATATCTAATGTATTTAATATTAGATGTAGATTTAGTGATTTATTATGACTTTTAATGTTGTAATTTTGTATTGGAGAGAAAGGACCCAACTTGAGTTAATGCTGTTTTAACATTCTTCAGAAAATACAATGCATATATATGTATATGTATATGTGTGTGTGTGTGTGTGTGTATACACACATATACATACAAAGAGTGCTACACATATACATATAGCTAAAGAGAGAGATTTAAATAATTGGGTTATGTGATTGTTGGGGAGCTGGCAAGTCTGAAATCTGTAGGGTAGGCTGGCAGGCTAAAGAGCCAGGGTGAGTAGGTATTGCACCTTGAATCTGAAGGTAGTCTTCTATCAGAATTTCCTTTTCCTCTGGGGACCTCAGTCTGTTTTCTTTTAAGGCCTTCAACTGATTGTATAAGGCCCACCCACATTATGGAGGATAATCTGCTATACTCTAAGTCTACGAATTTAAATGTTAATGTTTCCTAAAAAATACTTCCACAGAAACATGTAGACTGGTGTTTGACCAAATATCTGGGTACTGTGGCTAGATAAGTTGATACGAAAGTTAACTATCAATATAATTTATTTAAAACATAAAAAGACAGGTTACAAATTGAAATTCAGCTCTGTAAATCTAAATAATTGAAACATTTCACTATTAGAAAAATAAAACACAGCAGAAACAGGTAAAATTTAGAAAAGTGTATAATTTATTTGGGAAATTTTTTAAGACTGGGCAGGATGTACTAGTTTAATAAAAGAAGGTAGTTAATGTGTGTGGAGAGTAGGGAGAGAGCTATTTCTATGCAATTTGGAAGCAAGGAAACTGCCTTTGTAAAAATGTATGTACCTGTCAGTTACACCAGAGGAGAGTGTGTAAGGGAAAGTGCTCTTTTCCATTAATCATTTTAAAAACATTGAAAACTTTGTAAAATGTAGTAAAAGATACAAAGCTATGGTCTCTGCCTTTGGCGAGTTTCTAGCCTAAATGGGGAAGGAAGGGATCTTTTATACAGTTTATCAATACTGCCAGCTCAGAGAAGTAGAGATCTGGCCTTGAGAAATTGGGTGGGCTTCCTGTAGAAAGGTGTCTGTTATGTTTACTTAAAGTGTGCACAACATTAAAAAATTAACTTTGGCACAGAGTATATTTCCATTTTGGATTCTCACTAAAGTTTCTTTCTAAATACTCCCTGGTATTTAGAAAGCTGAAAAGTCACTTTGGGAAAACTATGAATGTCATATATCATGTGGTCCTAGGTCTAGTCACAGCCTGTGAGAATCTGCAATGGCAGTGCATTAAATTAATAAAAATTCCAGACTTACATGGACTTCTCAAGTCACAATGCTGTACACTTGCACATCCTTAGCAGAGTATAACTGGGAACTGGGAGGATAAAAAATGTAGGAAAGTAATTTAGCAAGTCACTGCTCATTTGAGTCCACAATTTTACTAGAAGTTATGGTACCTTCCTTTAGAATTAGAAGTGGGTGCTGGGGAAGGCAGAAGCTAAGTGCCTCCTCTATGTCATGAAAGGGACTATTGAATTAGAAAGTTTCACCTGAATGGTATGGCCGTCTTGGTAGACCCTGAGTCACATTCACCAACAGAACTAGAAATAAATTACTAATCTCTAATCTATCCTCATTTTGGGTCATTGATCCCTACCTGATCCTTGGAGAATCTTTAAGTTTTATACTGACTTTTATACAAAGCAAAATTCGTCCTTGGGCTACCCACGTGCAGATTGTTAGTATGCTTGGGTTGGTTAAATTCTAACTATGTGCGTGTTTCCCTGTCCACATGGATCTTGCCATCTGAAGGAAAACATTTAGATAAGCATCTCCTGAAAAATTAGAAGACATTTAACAGGAAATGGTGCAATTTAAACCTCAGCAGAATTTGTACCCATCGTGCTGGGATGCTTTGGAAAAGTAGCCTGGCAAGACCAGGCAGTCATCTTCAGAGGCCTGTGGGAGGACTTATATTACCAACTGCTGAGGACTCAGAGATACAGGTTCCCTCACTCAATATCTTCCTGTTTCCTCCTTGGGAATTGGGTGATAAAGCAAGATATTCCAGGGGAGTTTACAAAGTTGGTGGGAGGAATCTGTAGTGACCTAGAGTGTGGTACAGCACTTTTGTTGTGATCATGGGAAAGTTACTTCACCCTTTGAGGCTTGGTTTTCTCATGGGTTATATTGGAATCAGATAACTTTGAGTGAATCAGGTGAGCTGATGTACATGAAAGTACTTATTTTTAAGGTACTTAAAAATTACTTATTTTATTTTGTCACATATAAAACGAAAGTTAGGCATTCTTGCTATAGTTTGTGAGTCAGTTGTTATAGCTTTGTCCCCTATCATTTAAAGTCAGTTGGTACTTGGTATCACCAAAAATGCAGGGAGCCAGGTTTTTATTATCTGTTCCTTCTTGGTCTTTTGCTTGACTTATTCTAACATGGGAATTTAAGTCATCTGGAAAATTTCTAGTCAGCAGGGAGTTTCCCTATTCAGCTGTTCTGCAAGACTAAACGCAGCTGCCTGTCTATCAAACCCCAGGCACTCTCAACTCATCAGATCAGAAATAAATAATATCATACTTCTTTTGACTCAAATTTAGTCTTTAAAGTAGAAGGCATGTATTAGCCTGTATAGGCGCAAGTGTTCTGCATTTATGGACATAGGTTTGTGTGACTGTGCTAATAGGTAAGCCCCAAATCCTCTGTCTAAACAGAACAGAGAGCTTAGAACATGCACATCAGATGTAATTATTTGAGTTTCAGTGATGGACATTATCATTGCGGTTTCTTTTTTTATAAGCCCAGTGGTTCTCCTGGTTCTGCTTGTTCTACTTTATAAGCAAACTGAGATTGACCACTCATCATTATAATTTTGATAGCTCATTAAAAAGCAAATAATGCTATCTTATAAAGAAGAATTGAAACTTGTTTGGCATTCTCTAAAATAATTTCAGGAATACGCTGAATTCTTACAGATAATGTTGAAATTATATTATTTTGCCTGAATAATCTTCATATTGCTATTGACAATGGCTCCTTAACATGTAGACAGAGGCATACATTAGTCATTTCTATACCTTACCCCAATATACTGTACCTGAAGTCATTTTTGAATTGGTAAGAACATAAATTAATTAATTAAATGTGTATACCTACTTGGAGAAGTTTCCTTGAGTTATCAGAGCCCTCATAAAACAGGAACTTACTTTTCATTTTCTGGTGAACAGAAAACCCAAATAAACTTTTGTTTCCTTCATTCCAAGTCAGTTCATTTCAATCTTCTGAAATTGTGCATTTGTTTTTGTTCAATTAATGCAAAGTGGTTTTTTCTTTTGATCTGTGATTTGTTTCTAAAAGCTATGATAATTCTCTCTGGGTTCTTATCAGAGCTGTTCTTTGCTTACCATAGGCATTTTGTTTCTTAGCTTGGAGAAAAGGAAGAATTTTCCCTCAAACTCTTGTATTCCCCAAGATGTCAAGTATGTATGGATTTCCTAAAGAGAGAAATTAGTTTATGTTCGTATTTGAAAGTGTGTTTTAAGGTAAAAATTTATAATAAATAATTTGGGCAAAGGACCAGGACAGTTATATCATGAATTTTTCAGGTGATGACCTGTTGGGGCTGAGTTTACTACCTCTGTAGGCTGAGAACCATCGTTGTGCTTCCCTTGTTGGGCCTGGCCCAGTCCTGATGCCTGCCCACACAATGTTAAATTCATAAGGAATGCAGGAAGACATAGTGTTGAGATCAAGCTGTGGGTCACGGGAGTGGCTTCCAGATTCAGCCCTGAGGATTCAGAAGTCTCTTGCTTCTGTAGGCTTTAGCTTCATCATCTATAAGCTGGAATATTAATGGTAGTTTTTTCCAGACTTGGAAATGTTAAAGGTAATGTCCCATAGAACCCTACATCTAAAGAAGGGAAGGGCCATGGCCCTAATTAGAAGACAGAAAGCAGACCTCAGTTTACCTGTCATCTGCTTTTCTCTCCCAGCATTTTTGAAAAAAAAATACTAAATGCAAGATACCTTTCAACCCTTCTGAGATATTGGGCTTCCCAGGATATAAACTTAGATTTTAGTTATAACTTTTAAAATTAAGATCGTTGATCATAAACTGCTAGGAATAATATACTGAGGAAATGAGACAAAAAAATTCATTTTTACTGAAAATCTGTTTAGGATATACTGATCATTGGAATCATCAGAATTCAATGTTGTTTCTGTGGTTTTCAAGCTTTTTACCTGACTTGAAGCAGGACATACCTTTTATTTTATTATCTAATGCAGATATATGCACAGTCAGTGGAAACTGTTTTTCTGTATTTATCCTTACTATAAGCAACACACTTTTTTTTACTGTATTTTATAATTTTATTTATTTAAAAAAATTTCGGGCTGTAACCCTTTTAATTCATTACGTGAGCCCTAATAGGTCATGAAATTCTACCCTTTTCTTATATCTGGAAAGAATTTTCAGAAATTATGGATTCCTGTGTGTCCCCAGATGAAGATGAGAGCTCTTGAACCTATGCCTTTTCCTTTTATTCAATCTGCCTCTCTAAGAGGCATACCTAATCAGCCAGATTGTTAGAGCTGCTATCTGGGCATTTCTTCCACTAGCAGAAAAACTTGAGAGTAAAACAAAATAAAACAACAGCAAACCTCTGACTACACTGTTAGTTACTACCAGAAAGTTAAAGACATCCTTTTGCAATTGCAAACACACTCTTGAGGTATAGGTGTAGTTTTGTTTGAGCTGATCAAAGATTTTGAATTTGGCTTATTAAATTTTGAATTTTGCCCACATCCTGAAAAAACATGAGGCAGGTCAATTGCTGTGTTCCCATAAGATTTTTTTCCCCTCCAAATTTGTAAATATCCCCAAACCTATATTCAAATCTACAGCTCAGGAAAGATATAATAGATTGTTAACTAAACTCATGTATGAGTATCTGAATATAGAATCCCAGCAGCAAATAGAAAATCCCACTTAATGAGAATTTTTTTTCTCACTCAATCCTCCTCCAGCCTTCAAAGCATAAAACTTATAAAGGAGAAAGAATTCACCCACAATCTCATCATCCAGAGGTGATCACTATTCATATCTTTGTATGGGTCATTGTTACTATATTTTGATTTGGTTGTGACAAGTTTGTAACCGATTGTGGTACTATTATCATTTTAAGATTAACTAGGAAATATTTAATCACATAATGAGATGTTTCATAACAGTATGAGTAACAGCTGAATACTATTGGATTCCATTGTGTGAATTTTCGTTTCCCTAACTAACTTACTTACATTGGGAATATAAGTGGTTTATAGTTTTTCCACTATTACAAATTATGTAATGCACATATTTGTACATGTAAAACTTTTCTGAATTTGGAATACATCCTTAGCATAAATTCTCAGAGTGGAATGATTGGTTAGAAGGTAATTGAACCACATTGTGGATTCCTACAACAAAGACTAAGAGGGCCAGCTTTTCCATTCTCAAGAGTCTAAGTTTTGAAGAAGCCTTATGATAGAGATACAGGTTCTTCTGGCAATCCAGAGACTCTGTGAGCTACACACAAAGCAGATGCTAAGATGTCTTTAAAGTTGCTTAGCTCTTGAGCAAACATGTGTAGTCACAGATGAAGGAAAAGTTTACTCTGAAGAAGATTTTTTGTATAAATACTTATTTTTAGTTTTTTTATGGTTCATGCAATTTAAATAATCATTTCAATCTAATTTTTAGTTTTATTGGTTTATTGGTCTTATTTATAATTTGTATCATTATAAATACAATTCTTATGAGTTTATACTTGTATTTTAAACAACAGTAAATTTAATGTTGATTTCCCATGATTATACTTAGGGTTTCACTAAAATAATGATTTTGTTTTATACTTTTATGAACAGTTCACAAATAACTTCCTAACCCTCCCTCTTCTGTTTGACATATTTTATTAAAGTCATTTCTTCATCCTTGGAAATGTTAATTTTCAGCAAGACTTTATTATATGTATTAAATATTGAATTTTAGTCTCAAGATTTGTCAGAGATTTCTGATTATATTTGGATTTTCTTTCCTTGGTGTAGATTATTCTTCATTCTATGCACAAATACCAGCCACGAGTTCACGTGATTCGCAAAGACTGTGGAGATGATCTTTCTCCCATCAAGCCTGTTCCATCTGGGGAGGGAGTGAAGGCTTTCTCCTTTCCAGAGACAGTCTTTACAACGGTCACCGCCTATCAGAATCAGCAGGTATTGTTTTTAGCTGGTATCTTTTTAGAATGTTTCAATAGATGGTATATTAGTATATCTAAATGTCATGAAACATCATACAATTTTTGCCATATATAACATGCAAAGCATATGTATGCATATTTATAACAACAATACTTTATCCATGATTTCCCCAAGTATGGCTTCTCCCATGAGGACTTCTTTAGATGATAGGAGATGAACATGTAAAATATGAACAGAGAATTGTATTGTAAAGCATGGGATTTGGATTTTTAAACTGCCAGCCATGAAAATCTTTCAGAAGCATTTATCCTGTACATTCATTTTTGTGTATTTACAAAAAGGGCTTTTTTCCTTTCAAACTATGTTTTATGGGTGATAAAGAGTGATTTAAGTATAATAGTCTGAAAGATTAGCCATTATGAGGTAGTCTTTTCATAAAGTTTGAAATAGTTTGAGAAGTAAAATATTTCTTTTCTATATTAGTAAACATGAGACTGTGTTTGCTTGAGTCAAGAAAGCAGAATTCAATCAAAGGCAAAAGCTTAGTACATGTAATTCCAGCCAGTTCGCATAAGAAATGATTATGTAATAGCTGATGGGGCCTGGAGGAGATATTTTTTTCTTTTAAATTTCAGTGGTCAGCCAAATTGTTTTGGGTTTTCACTTCTCCTTACCTATGTATATATTTCAGTAAAAATTTAAGGATTTTCAAATTCTGTTGTGGTAACCACTGTTTTAAAACTTCTAAGGAGATGTAAGTCCCCCCATGTGTTCTTCAGAACTGAGGGGCTAAACACTCTTATCCTGTGGCAACACCAGTCCCTCAGCCAAAGCCAGCCTGTTCCTCACACTCACATTTCCATTCTGTCATATGCCCCTTTACGTAGAAACATGAAATGTAACCTTTAGAAGGTCTAGAGAAAATTAGGATGATCTTCTCAAAATTTTAGGGTCGGGAAATGACTTTCACAGGGGAAGTCAGTGCATGAGGAGAAAATAGCAAAGCTTTAGTATACTTTTAACTACTCTGATTCATGGTCCCTATCCCTGTCTCTCTCTTACACACAAATTACCTGTGCTTTATGTGTTATTTTCTCCCACTCTCTGGTAGAGTAAGCTTCATATAGTAGGCTTTAGGCACATGTTAGTGACTAATACCAACTAGCAGACATTGACAAGTCGATTAGGAGACTAGAAAAATTGGAAGGGAAATTGGTAACAATAACATGCAATTACATTCACTTTTTAATGTCCCAGATCCTAGTTTTAAGAACTTATGGAAATTGGTTTAACTTATTAGAACTAATAAAAATAAAACAAAGAACCTGTGCAAAATTGGTAAGCAGATTCACCCAGTTATTAACAGCATGAGCTCTGCCTTTTGGTTTCCTACTCCATTTCTACTGGCTAATAACTATATGACTTTGGGAAAGTTACTTGTAAAATGTCACTTCAAAAGAAAACAAAATTGGGATAATAGCTATGCATAAGCTGTTATGATAATTAAATGATTGGTATGAATAAAACTTCATATACCCGTACATAGTCTGCATTCAATAAATGTGGTAATGTTAGTAATAAAAATAATAGTAATTGTGACATATTTCTATTTAGATAAACAAAACTATATAAATATGTACTCTTTTTAGTAATAATATTTTAAATTTTTAAATTATTTAGTGCTATTTAAACATTACTGAAATGAACAGAGAATTGAACTGTAATGATCTGTGAAGACAAATACCCTTCACTGATAGATTGGAAGACATGGTGAATTAATTAACAAACTCTTTCATATGTCCGTTATAATATAGTTCTATCCACATATCAAGACAATGTCATATGGAGCACATGTGTCTTAAGTGTTGCATGGCTGATTAGAGGATGGCTGAGAGCATGCACGGGCAGTCTAGGAGAACTGTAGAGGACTTTTTTTTTTGCTATAGTGTTATCCAACAAAGTTCATCCTCAGCCAAGATGGATACAATCAGAAATATATTATTTAACTTTGTAGATTTCTTAAGCCAATGAATTTAGAGTGCAAAGCATGGTGTACTTCTAAAAGATAGCCTATAAATTCCTTTGGGCAAAGTACAGATATGGTAAGAAATAGATGGGATGTTATTTATTAGGGTCAAATTTAGGATGGCAAAAGTAAAATAAAAATAAATTTAATTGAGATGATTAGAACATTTGTAAATCCCCCTTCCTCCTAAATCTTGTGGTATTAGTGGGCAAGATTATAAGACAACAAATTGGAACTCCAGGTAAAATTACATTTTCATTTATTTCTACTACATGTATAAGATTTAATCTCATTAGAATCTTCAAATAGTGGTTACCTGTGGTTCACTGTAGTGCTGGGATCAAGTTAGGATTCTAAAAATAAAATAAGAAAAGAATAAAATATTCAGATGAGTAACAGAAAGGAAAGGAGAGACAAAAAAAAAATACAGAGGCAGAACATTAAAGGAGTGTGGGTGTTACCTAATTCTGAAGAAGACTGTGGAAGAGCTTTATAACATTTTAAGAATATGAATGGCTGATAAATGGATGTTAGATATTATTTCCCATTACCTCTATTGCAAGAGAAACAATTAAACCACATCACAAAGTTCAAGGGAATAGCTTCAGTTTCTAGAGGATTTTCAAACAAAGGGCAAATTATCACCAGATGATTCAAGATCTTCTTTCCTAAGAATATTAAAAGCAAAGCAAACTTTAATCTATGTAGTTTGAAAAGGAGTGAGAAAGTATCTTCTTCATAGCATATGAATGTTCTGGATGATTTCTGAAATTTTTTTTAACTTTACTGCTAAAATATTAAAATATGTGGTGAATGGAAAGAGGAGCACAGTAGAATTCTCTATCAAGTTAACCTTTGAATAATTTGTAGTTCTGCAATTATTTATGTGTTTTATAACTTTATTTCACTGCAGATTACTCGCCTTAAGATAGATAGGAATCCATTTGCCAAAGGCTTCCGAGACTCTGGGCGAAACAGGTAAGTGCTAATGAAAAACCATTATGATTCTAATAAAATATATTTGATATTTTATTGTGGATTTTCTTTTACAAACTAAATGTTTAAATTTACTCATAGGGTATTGAAATAATTTCCGATGATAATTTAAATTGATCAATACTGTTGTACGTTGGATACACCTTTGGAGTGTGATGGTGTGGGCTGCCTTAAGTGAACTTTCATGCATGATTCCGGTGTGAAGATGAAAGCTCTAAGTGGTTCATTGCATGTTGCTTCTTAAGAGGCCTTGAAGCAGTCTACCTTTATAGGCCAGGGCCCTTGATATCCCAAGTAAATGCCCTTTCTGCCTCTGCTATTGGTTTACAATTTCCTTAGTGATGACACAACTGTTTGTTGATTCTGTCTAGTGAATATGATTGGGTCTCTTATTATCTCAGTTTTAAAACTGGAATATGAAACTCCTTCATGTTGCCAAGAGAGCTGATGTTCTTTAGTTCCCAAATTTGTCTTGGTTCTGCTAACAGTCACATAGTTTATTTTTTCTGTGTTGTGTTTATGGTGTTTATACTAAGTGAGAGAGCTACAATAATGAATTCCATTCTGGTACTCTTATGAAAAAGCAGATTATCTAGCCTGTATGCCAAGAGTTTTAAATTTATTGATATGATTCTATTCCAATACAGTTCAGTGCAACATTTTCTAAAATAACTTTTAGTTACAGAGATTAATAGTAGACTAATGTTCTACAAAGCCTTTTTCTGGGTAAGACTTTGACTTACAAGTTTTCAAAAGTCTCTTGTATTTAACTGGGCACAGTAGCACACACCTGTAATCCCAGTGGCTCAGGAGGCTAAGGCAGGAGGATCTTGAGTTCTCTCAGCAACAGCAAGGTGCTGAGCAACTCAGTGAGACCCTGTCTCTACATAAAATATACAACATAAGGTTAGGGATGTGGCTCAGTGGTCGAGTGCCCCTGAGTTCAAACCCCAGTATCCCTCCCCGCCAAAGTATCTTGTTTTTAAAAAGAAATATATGAACATTTTAAAAATCACTTTACTTCCCAAATCATTATAATACTACTTGAAAACGTAGTATTAATTTGGTCTGTCTACACAAAGTCAAAAATCCTCATTTATTTTGGAGACAATTTCATTTGAAATTTTAGAAAGAAAACCATTAGGTAACAGTTGAGAGTTTTAGTTCTTTCATTTGATTGATTGGGCAAGGTAGGCAACTGGCGTCATTTAAATACCATGCAATGTAAGGACTAAAATGCAATTAAAATTCAGCAAGAGTAGAATAACTTTCTGCAGGTGGATCAATAGGACTGACCAATAAGAGGCTTCCCTCCCTCTGAAATTCATCACCTTGTGGGTAGGTTTGCAGCTATACCTAATGCACAACAAGTTGTCTCCTATATTGAAATTATGTCTTTTTTAAAAATTTATTTTTACTTAAAAAATGTTTCTGTGGTACTGGAGTTTGAACCCAGGGGTACTTTAACAGTGAGCTACAACCTCAGTCCTTTTTATTTTTTTAGTTTGAGGCAGAGTCTTACTAAATTGCCTGAGCTAGCCTCAAATTGTGATCCTTCTGCCTCAGCCTTCTGAGTCACTGGGATTATTTGACTTTGTGTCTTTTTAGATGTCTGTTTCAATGTGGAGAAAATGTTTGGTTGGCTTTTGCTAGGTTACAATAGCTTCTTATTAACTTGCTTTTCAGATGAATTTCTGAAAACTGAATGCAGATTCAACCATAATTTAGTAATCTAAGATCATATAGTGAGGTGGCTAAAGGGAACCTTTGGGGTAAAGTAACTCCTCTACCTTGATAAATGCTTTGATGGAATCTTCTTGTGACTGTGTTTATATCAGATTAGTATTTACTCACTTCAAAATCTTGCACTGGTTTCAGGGATTTTTTTTTTAAGTAGAAGAGGAATTTATTAAAATTTATTTGAACTGAAAGAGGACTGCAGCGAGGCTTTGAATGTGTATATGCCAGAAACCATGTCCAAGGTATTGATTGTTCCAGCGAAGACCTCACTTGCTACCAACACTGGAGATTTCACTGCTTATACCCTGTCAGTTCACTTATGAGGCCAAATTAAACAATATTCTTAAAGTATATTTTATATAGATAATAACAATGAATGAACCTTTTACAAGTAGAAATGAGATGATGTATATGACAACTTTTCAGGAAATATACTAGATATGCCAACATAATGAAAAGACATTTGTTTATTTAAATATAGTCAGTAAAAAAAAATTAGTAGTACTGGGGAAAATAAACTACTAAGCTGTTTGGTATGGTGAGGTCAAAATGCTAGGTTTTGATATTTCCTTTCCTTTGGCTATTTCGGGAATGTGTAGGCATGGCATCCAATGGTGCTTGCTATTATTTTTTCCTGAGTGTAATAAAACTTTTAATGTTTTTAATGGACATACAGAAAACAATGAATTATGCTTGAACTGTTTTTAAAATTTTTTAAAATTGAAATTCCTTTTTTGCTTCAAATGTTTTAACAGTATTTTTATAGGTGAAGTATATGATCTCTGAGTTTTTGCTAGTGAAATAAGGTTGCAACTTTTTTTCTCTTGAAAGTATCTCTATTATCAAAGCTGAGCTCTTCATGGGTCACTTCCTAATATTAAATATCTATAAATCAATATTCTACATTTAAAAATTTGATATTAACATATTTGAGTCATAAGTACCAAAGATGCAAATATTAAAGAGAATTTTGTCAGATTTAAATATCTATAACTTATGTATTATTTTCCTTTAGAAAAAAGAACCTAAGTTATATGTAGGAAAGTATAGTGATTTTAAGGGGTATGGAGGACTGCAATATTTTAAAATTTATTTTGAAAAGTTTTTATTAGTGTATTTTATTTACATAATAGTGGGGTCCATTTTGACATAATTTTTAAATTTGTTGAGAAGAAAGTTCAAGAGAAAAAAAATCAAAATAGTCCTTTATTACCCTGGTACTATTGTGCAGTTATTTAAAAAAAAACAAATTTCTATTTTAATTTTTTCACATACATAAAATAAACAAATTGAGCAGAACAAGAAATAAACGTGAAATTATGATTGTTTAAACTTTATAAAACAATTTTCTTTAATTAAAAATTATCCTTTCCTGGCTATTTATGACTCCACAGCCTATTTTATAGGAATCAGTAGCTTTGGCCCTTAAAAGCTCTCCTGCAAGACATTTGCTATGTGAGAGCGAATTTATGTGCTGAGAATAGTTTCATTCTTCAGTTAGGCCTTAGGTTTGACCCTATAAAATTTTTTACTCAGGAAGGTACAAAAATTTCTTCTCTTTAAATACCTCAGGAAAAACATAACCATTTTACTAAATAAACTTGGCCATTTGATAGCATAAATTAGGGCAGTGATAAAATGTGGAAGTTGTTCAAAGGCACCTTGTATAAATTATCGCCTTGGCTACTCTCCTGCAGGAGGTGCCTTTCATCTTTTCTTTAACTAGATGGGAAAAGTCTCCATTACTGGAGAAAATGAAGGCTTTTTAACAAAAGTCCAGATTCAGCTAATAAATATTTTATAACTGTTTCCTGCAAAATATCTGAAATCCTTTCTGGAACTTGCAGTGTGAAACAGCAGCCTCAGGAAAAATATCAATAGCTCCAAATCAGATCACTTGTAGACATATCACCTTCAGAGCATCTCTTTAAAGCTTGGGGTTATATATATGTGATACTTAATAACTTTTGCCAAAAATTTGGTTTATATATTTGAAACATAGTTGGCTTCATACTGTTAAAGCAAATAATGCAGTAGTACACATCTCTATAGTGAATAAAGTTCTAAGTCCAGTGAATGCTACTTTATTATCTTAGTAAACTCCCATAAGACTGTTTTTTAACACTTTGGTATCTTTAATATTGAAAACCACCATTATCAAAATTCATCTATGTGATAATAAATGGCAATTTTAAAAATAAAGCTGTGTCCTAATGTTCATTTGCATTTAAAAAATCTTTTTTTCCTGGAACATCATAAAAATTTAGTATTGGTTTGCACTAAATATAGAGTAATCAGCTAAATAGCACCCAGTATTTGTTACTCCAGTATTAATACAACTCACTACTTGGGGGTCTGAGATTGAGTAGGCTTGCAAAACTGCCCAGAAACAAATACTTTAATGGACAAAAAAGTGCTACTGAGTTGCATGATCTTAAATTTTACTTGTATTTTGGCCACAAATGTGATGTTTGATTTGGAAAAAATAACTTAGAATAACACAACTTTAGAGCTAGAAAAGGGTTTCAGAACTTTCATAACCTAATTCTCACTTTGTAGGAAGCTGAAATCCAGAGAGGTTAAGAAATTGACTTAAGGTCACACAATTAGTTTTAGTGACTTGCAGTCAAGCCCATTTCTTCTGATCCCAATCGAGTGTTCTTACCATTAAATGATAGTTTCTGTGGCACATTATTATGTTAGAAGCCAGATTCTGTTCTTCTTTACTAAGTAGTCCAGATAGAACAAGTGTAGTTCCCTTGGTGTCCTGCTCTTCCTTTGGTAGCCCGTTCATATTATATCTGTAGGGCTGGGGATGCCTTTTTGAGGTGCTCTGAGAACAGTGTTCCCCTGAGCCTACAACTGAAGAGATGAGTCAGGTTCCTGAGTATACTCAGGAGATGTGTTGATGCATGCACATAGGCTAACCCTCCACCCATGCATAACTGTTCTTTTGTTATTAAAATGGGATAGGTGTGCTTTTCATTGAGTTGGGACAGAAATACATAGATCAATGGAGACTATATCTGCACATTCTAAGGAAGCAAATTCTGCATGTAAAACATTGGTCCAGAAGGAGTAGTAGTGTGAAATGGTTTTATCTGCACAAGTCACTTTTGCTAATTGGAGAGGTTTTACCCTATAGGTAAAGGTGATGTGACTCTTGGTGGTCTTTTCCCCTAGTCTTAGTCCATAGTTCATGATTTGAGGGTACAGGGAATCCAGAGGAGGTAGCACCTGAGTTGTAGTTATCAAGCATATCTGACAATCACAAGAGATGTCTGAGTAGTATTTGATACCTCAGGAAGCAGGAATTTCCTACAGTAGAGGTATAGGTTTCATAAAAGCACACTATTATCTTTTTGGTGGGCTGGTGGCATTGGGGTTTGAACTCAAGGGCACTTGACCACTGAGCCACATCTCCAAACCTATTTTGCATTTTATTGAGTGACAGAGTCTCACCGAGTTACTTAGCATCTCTCTTTTGCTGAGGCAGGCTTTGAACTCACGATCCCCCTGCCTCAGCCTCTTAAGCTGCTGATTACAAGTGTGTGCCACTGTGACCAGAATAATGTTATCTTGATTAACAAATTGCTTAGGACTGAGGAGGTTGAGGGATGAATTATAAGGTCTTAGCTCTTTTGAAAATGGCTAATTGAGTGAAGGGCCTCAATCTCACCTCATGTAAGGAAGGAAAAACTGAATCACTTATGGAAGGAGGCAATTTATGCACATATTTAATTGTTGGTGTTTTAAAATACATACATGTTATATAAATAGTCCATAACCAACGTTTTCTGTCTCTTTAAGTGTCTATTCATTAAGTATGGGTATTGAGGCTTTAAAGTATTCTGTGATAGTGGTACTAATTTCATATAGTGGATATCCCTTTGAGATCATCTTCCTGCTCTCCTGCACCTTGCTGGGTGAGGACAGGAGGAGTCAGTGCTGCCCTCTTCTGGCGGTTCCATTTCTGAAAGGAGAGTCCAGCCTGGTTCATGGTGAAGATGGTGCCCCTGGCTGAAGTTGGTTTTCTTTGGAAGAACACTCCTTTGAGATGGCTGCTGAGGCAATGAATGATGGACAAAATGCCTCTTTAGAAAAGATTTTTTTTTTTACCGTAACATTCTTTTGTGGAAACACCCTTTTCATAGAGGGAAAAGCCCCATCACTGGGAGAAGGTGTATTCCAGATTGCAGCCATGCCTTGGATTCAGAACAGTAAGGATGGACTCTCTTCACCTCAGCCCCTTGGCCCCTTCCCCCACATTGGCTTGGCTTTGGTTCCCAAGGAATGTTAACAACATTTTGGGTGATTTTCCGTCTCCCAGGTATTTCTTTCTGACCATGGCAAGCTCCTAACCTGTGAATATGGGGTGTTCTATCAATTCTGGTCTTATTTCCCAAAATACTCATTACTGATGAAATCTCCTAACTAGACTTCATTTGTCCCCACATCCCACCCTAATCCTGATCCTTCTGTTTAGGATGGGTTTGGAAGCCTTGGTGGAATCGTATGCATTCTGGAGACCCTCACTGCGGACCCTCACCTTTGAAGATATTCCTGGAATTCCCAAGCAAGGTAACTCACAAACTTTCCTGGGCTATAGCTGCAGCCATTTCCTGTCTGAAAGCTCAGGTGCTAAAAAAAGCACAATTATTTCAAATATGATGGTGACCTCATCACCAACAGGTCTAGAGTTCATATCTTTTCCATATGGTATGGGGATGGGTCAGAAAAAATGGTTGTTGTGGTTATAGATTAAATCTTGGATTTTTAGGCTGTTTATTTATGTTATTACCTTTATCTGACTCTTAAATTTTGTATTAATGTTGGAGGTGGACTTGTGGGTTCTGAGGCCAGTTACTCTCCACATGACATTGCTGATGCTGTTTCCAGTCCACCTTTTCTTGCCAGGTTCTTTCTTCCTTTATTGAGATGATGATGAGAAAGTTGGGTACATTCAGGCAGATTTCCTTGGGCTCATCGCTGAATATTTCCCACAAGTCTGGGGCTTGCACTTTCTTGGAGAAAATGACACTTTCTCTTTGGTCTGTTCACTAGGTAGGACTATCAGCTCACTGCTGTAGGCAGGCTTTTAATCACCTTCCAGTGAGAATTTCACCTGCTGGATTTTAAATTATTACTGAACATATTGGGCTTTTAGATTATTTTGGGAAGCTATGTGAGACACTGGCACTATAACAATGAAGGTTTTACACCCTGTCTAGCCCTTGGGATTTTCTTCTCCCTTTAAATTCTGTCAAATTTGCAAACATCGGGTTTACCACCACATCCAGAGAGGGAGGGTCAGCCACCATCACCACCACTGAATGCAGGATAACTACCCTCTCTAAGTTTCACAGGACTGTTTATTTGCTGGACTTCTATTCCTGTGTTAGCATGTGATTCACCAACCTATTTTCTGGTTGGAAGTGAAGTTTTTGAGGGGCTAGACTATTGCTTTACGAAGTGGCCAAGACTTGCCTTGTATAGTCATTGATGCACATAGTATTTCAGTGAGAATCTACAGATATGCTTGAGCAGGGTATGGACTTGGTTCAACTCTTTGCTTTGAGTCATGGCTGTTACTTTGTAAGAAAATATATTGATCCAAAGCAAACTTTGCTGAAAGAAAGGCTGAAATATAGGTAAAAATGTAGTGTTGTTACACTGTTGGAACAAGATATATGATAGAGATTGATGCTGTATAAAGTTGCTGATAAATTCAGTTATTTGTAATATTTATTATACTAAGAAATCTTTTGAGAAAGCTTATTAAGGGACAAATTATGAAAATTCTGTATGGCAGTATCCTTCTCTTTCTGCAATACAAAAACATATCTTTCCCTAGGGAAATAATTTGTCTTAAAAATATTGAGATACCGGGTGCCATGATACGCACCTGTAATCCCAGGGGCTTGGGAGGCTGAGTCAGGAGGATCATGAGTTCAAAGCAAGCCTCAGCAACTTAGTAAGGCCCTAAGCAATTCAATGAGACCCTGTAAATAAAATAGAAAAAAGGACTGGGAATGTGGTTGAGTGGGTGAGTGCCCTTGAGTTCAATCCTCAGGACCAAAAAGGAAAAAAAAAAAAACAAAGAAAAAAAGAAAAATATTGAGAGATACTGGACATAGTGGTGTGCACCTGTAATCCAGTGACTCAAGAGGCTAAGGCAGAAGGGTTTCAAATTCAAGACCAGACCCAGTAATTTAGTGATACCCTGTCTCAAAATAAAAAATAAAAGACTTGGGGATGTAGCTCATTGTTAGAATACCCTTGGGTTCAGTCCCCACTGCTGGGGGGTGGGGAACACATTGAGAGGATTTGTGTGCAGATTGTTTCACTATGAATTCAATGAGGTTCTAAATTCCTTGAAAGCTGATAAATCATAACTTCCTTCTCATCCTTTTAGCCCTTGCCACCCCTTATAACAAGCCATTTCTATCATGTATTTAACAAATTAAAAGAAAAAGATGGCTATGGCATCATTCTTTACATTTCAACTTCTTTTATAGGCAATGCAAGTTCCTCCTCCTTACTGCAAAGTACTGGGAATGGTGTTCCTGCCACCCACCCTCACCTTTTGTCTGGCTCCTCTTGTTCCTCTCCTGCCTTCCATCTGGGGCCCAACACCAGCCAGCTATGTAGTCTGGCCCCAGCTGACTATTCTGCCTGTGCCCGCTCAGGCCTCACCCTCAACCGATACAGCACATCCCTGGCCGAGACCTACAACAGGCTCACCAACCAAACCAGCGAGACATTCGCCTCGCCCAGGACTCCCTCCTATGTAGGTGTGAGCAGCAGCACCTCAGTGAACATGTCCATGGGAGGCACTGATGGAGACACCTTCAGCTGCCCACAGACCAGCTTGTCCATGCAGATTTCAGGAATGTCCCCTCAGCTCCAGTACATCATGCCTTCACCCTCCAGCAATGCCTTTGCTACTAACCAGACCCACCAGGGTTCATATAACACTTTCAGGTTACACAGTCCCTGTGCCTTATATGGATATAACTTCTCCACATCCCCCAAACTGGCTGCCAGTCCTGAGAAAATTGTTTCTTCCCAAGGAAGTTTCTTGGGGTCCTCACCAAGTGGGACCATGACTGATCGACAGATGTTGCCCCCTGTGGAAGGAGTGCACCTGCTTAGCAGTGGGGGTCAGCAGAGTTTCTTTGACTCTAGGACCCTAGGAAGCTTAACTCTGTCATCATCTCAAGTGTCTGCACATATGGTCTGATGAAGTCTTTAAGTTAAATCCATTTGAATCTGTCTAATGTATTTTTTATCTTCTTTTTCTTTTCTTTTTTAAAGCAATATGGAAAGTAACTATCTGTAACTTGTAAAATATGCACATAATAGAATATTAAGTTTCCCTGAGGTTTTTCACTTTCTCATGGTGAGACTGTAATTATCTATAGTGTATGTGGATACTGTATATACATAGCATGTGGCATATTTAAGCCCCTTTTATATCCTCCTGTTCACCCAGTTGCTGAGTATTGGCATTCATACAGTATGTTTAATGAAAATTCTCAGACTTTTTAAAAACCAAAATGGTAAACTTAAAACTTGGCAGTGATACTAACCAGATGAAGATTTGTAACTTAATTTATCAGAAAAATGTTCTGAACAATTTCAAAATTGAGTGTTGATAACCAGAAGTAATCATTATATAGAATCTTATGATTTCTGTTATTCTTAAACATAGTGGGAGAATCTAAAATGCAAAAGCCAGTTGAAGTGTTAGTATTAGTTCTGAGGTATTTGTAATTATGAAGGATTAGCTTTTACATTCCTGCTTATTCTTATTTGCCACAGATATTATATGACCTCAGGTCTATAAAATTTATAACTCATATAATTTTAATGTTTTGATGGAAGGTGGAGGAGGATTGTGATTTGTTTTTCACTTTTCATTGGTCATACAAGAGGTACTTACTCATCGGCAGAGAATAAATTTCTAGTATTTAAGATTTTTTGATCATCTTATTTACTTTATCAAATAGGCCATTGAAAACTGTTCTGTAAACATTTTTAAATTCCAGTATTCACCAGGGAAAGAATATATGATATGAGTGGCAGCAAAAAGAAAATAAATCCACCTCACATTCTTTGATTCCAATGAGAAACGTTTATATTTCTAATTCTTGAGGAATAATTTTATCAACTATCCCTTAGATTTTTTTTTGTTGTTGTTGTTGCTTGGTTTTTCATTTAAGATATTTTTTTTTTCTATGTTGCTTTGAGCATCCTGACCCATGGTTTATGAGTAAGGAAAAGACATTTATGCTACTTATTTATGTCTTACAACTCTTGCAAATTGGAACTCCCCCTTTCCTTCCTTAACCATATCCTTCTGTCTTGAGTTTTTCAAAACAAGCAGGTCTTAGGCCTTTATGGTGTTAAAGCTGCAAGGAATTTTCAGAGGGTTATCTGACAATCTGTCTTGTGGGTGTTGTAGTCAAAAGCTAAAGCCCATTACCAAAAAGGCCCTCTTGAAGGACTAAGGAGGAAGATACTAATTATGATAAAGGAACTATAAAACTTTTAACCTCAATAGCATTTTTAGCCTTGGAAGTAAACAAATAAAAGCAGCAGTACTTTTTTTTTTTTTGTTTTAAAGCCCCTAAATAATGTATATATGGTTTAAGAGTTCAAAACAACATTTCTTGAACAGTTTCTTGGGATAAAAAATATTTATGAGGTAAATAGAAAAGGCTAAGAATGCATGATAAAATGCATTAACCTTCTGCTGAGAAACTAAAATGATATATCTGACTGACTTATTCATTACACATCATATATATGACAAGCAAAAAGAGCGTTTCCTTTCATTGCTTAATCAAATGGCTGTAACTCATCTTTAGTTTAATGTATGGAGGGGATATAACTTCTGATTTGCTTCTTTAAAATAACACCATTATTAGATATTTAGGGTAACTTAGTGTTTGAACAGAATTTGCACAGGGTTTGACTCTGTTTATAGATACTGACAAATTTCTTCATGGATTCTGTAAGCAGTTCATCAAATTAATATTGATTTTAAATTTCAAATTATCACTAAAGGGCATGAACTATTTGTAATAAGTAGACCTATACAATAAGCTTTTCCTGTGTACAATAGTAATATCAGGACAAATACTTGGAAAAGGGCTTTAATAATAAGTTTATCCCAGCCTTAGTGCTTTGTGTAATTCAAGGAGAATATTTTTCCATTTTGAAAAACATAGAAAGTAATGCTTTATACCCATATGTATTAGTAAGTAGAGCATTTTTCTTTTTTCTGTCGGTAATTTGAGATGACACCACAATATGAGTAGAATTTTTAAATAATTTTTGGTAAAATTTATCGATTTTGTACAAATGCTATTTCCATTAGATTTTACTGTAAATATTAATTACCATGTTATGTCAAAGACTAACCTTTTATTGTTATATTAAATGAAATACATACATTGATAATTATAAGTACATATCTGTATTTTATTAAAAAATGCTTAAGAAATTATATTAAAGTGTGTTATTAAATCCTTTTATGATTTTGGAGGACAATCATTTTAAGTCTCTATGAATATTTTCTCAAGAATAAGCACACATGTGTATATCGCAAACACAGAGTCTGTAACTCTCAATTACAAAGCAGGGGGAAGTGGTCTGCTGCTCATTTTTCATGTGTTAAATGTAATTTCTTGGTGTGTTGACCATGTCATTGAAGGTGAAGGCCCTGACAAATGTTGAACACATGAAAATTTGGACATGAGAGGAGGAGGTTGGAGCGGTATGTTTTGTTTCAGGTCCAGGAAAAAAAGGCCAGGATTCAAGAATGGGCTGCCTGCACGACTAACTGGTGATGACAGATGACTTCTGGGCCCCTTGACTGGAAAACATTCCAAGGGACATCGTGATGGGATGAGGTTGCTGCTATCAAGACCAGTCACATTCTGAAAATTAACACTTGTTTCCATACAGGCTCCCTCCCTGAGGTCAACAGCTTTTCACAAGTGGGGCACCCAGTTGCTGACCCTTGATTTCTGGAATGTAGGGGGTCAGGAGACCTTTGGTTCCCAGAGAAGACACCGTGTAGCCTATATATATATATGGAAGGATTACACTCACTCTTTACATTGATTAATAAAATTTTGAGAAAAAGAAACCTCACTTTTAAAATGTAAAGAGCTCTTTATTGCTACCAAGATTTAACCTATCAGTACTCACAACCTTAGTGGGAAATAACCAGCAGCTGGAGATTTAATTAGGAGAAAAAGAAGAGTAGGTTTTGTAGCAGACCAATTCTGGGGAGATTTGGAAGGGAAGAAGAAGGTGCAAGAAGAGGAATCACTAACTAAACTACAGGTTTCTAGTGCAGAGCCATCAAAAATAACCATGGTGAACTTGGTAAATGCTACACTGATGCTCTGTCCAGTTAGAGAGGATTGTAAAGAATTCTTTATTCCAAAGTGGAGTAGTGTTGGGTTTCCTCATAGGGAATTTATTGGCTTATCTACATGAATATTTTCCTAAGCGATCTGTTAGGAATTAAATAATTTTATTAAATTATTACCAAATGTTTTAATCTCATTGATCATCTTTTTTTTTTCAAAAATAAGTGCTCAGAGAAGTTGAGAGTGAGGTTAAATATGTGAGCAGTTAAGCAGATGGACCAGATTATAGCATTCCAGGAGCTCAAAGTTTAAAAATTAGTGTCAGTATAGGAACAAACAAATAATGTACATTCAAATATAAAGCATCTGACAGGTGTTGAACTTAGTATCTTTCTGCATGCTGATAAGTTTTCAGGTAAGTTTCTTTTTGTGGAATTTTGGTGTGGTGAAAATATCATTGCCTTGGGAATATGGAAACTGATTTGAAGCCATGGATTTCTCAATCATGGTTTTGGGCAAACATTAGCATTTTTAGTCTCAGTTTTCTTATGTATGAAAGGAGTGGCTCAGAGGAGAATCTTTACTATTCCTTCTAGTTTCAAATTCATATGAACTTCATGTGTTAGAACATAAACCTATTTGTCTTTGGATACACACACACTCACACACATATTTACAAAGAATGAAACAATACCAGGATTATTTTCAATTTATCAGATTACTTGGAGTTATTTAGAATTATATTTATTCAGTTATAATATATAGGATAAATTTTAGTATTTTTATATTTGAAGGAAGCTATAGTTAGTAATGTGTTTGCTACTTTATAGTGGACACAAAAAGATTGATAAAATTTCCTTTTCATAATGCTGTTAGTTGCATAAAGTAAATTATATCATTATGCAATAAGTACAACAATCTAGTAAAATATCTAGAGATCATTCCAAGTCCATTCAAAACACATTTAAATCCTTGAGAAAACACTTCAGCATGTATTTTTGAAGGGCTTTACTCATGCTGAGACTCAGATACAATAATATGAAGCAGTTTATTAATGTGTGATTCACTAAGTTTATACAAGACTAGATCAATATAGACATTCTACATCCATGTTTTGAATCATAGTACTCTGGTTACTAGAATAAGTCAATAATAAGGCCAAGATATTTTTCTAGATTTATTGTGATATAATTGACATATCACAGTATCATACAATTCACATACTTCAAGTGAACAATTTTAAGGTTTTTAGTACATCTGCAGTTGTGCAGCCATCACCATAATTTTAGAACATTTTCATTACCCTTCAGAAAACTTTATACCCATTGACAATCATGCCTTTTGCCTTCCCCTACTTTCTTACCCCCAAGTCCCAGGCAAGCACTAATCCACTGTCTTTATATAGTTGATTATTCTGGACATGTCATGTAAAATGATTTATGCAATATGTGGCTCTTTTGTGGTCATATTCTTCCACTGAGAATTATGTTTTCAAGGTTTTTCCATCTTGTGACATATATCAATATTTCATTTTATTTTAATGCTGAGTATATCCATAGTGCATCACAATTTATTTATTTACCATTTGAAGGACTTATTAATTGTTTCTACTTTTTAGCTATTATGAATAATGCTGCTATAACATTTATGCACATCCTATTGTGTGGATATGTGCTTTCATTTCTCTTGGGTGTATATCTAGGGGTGGAATTGTAGGGTGCTCAGATAATCTTTTGAGGGACTGCAGGTTGTCTTCCAAAGAAGGTACATCATTTCACATTCTTACCAGCAATGGAGGTTTCTGATTTCCCCATATTCTCATTGAAAGTTTTTATTACCAGTTTTTTTTTATTACAGTCAGCCTAGTGATCATGTAGTAATATTTTACCAAAGTCTTGATTTGCATTTCCCTAATTTATAATGTTGAATCTTTTTTTGTGTGTGTGCTTTATTGGAATTTGTTTGACTTTGCAGAAATGTCTATTCAGATCCTTTACACTTTTTAAAATTTGGTTGTTTGCTTATTTTTGATATTTAAGATTTCTTTTGTGTATTCTAAATACTTGTCTCTAATCATATATAATTGAAAATATCATCTCTCATTCTGTGGACTTTTAGCTTTCCTGATGATGTCCTCTGCAGCACAAAATGTCTTAATTTTTGAGGAGGTCCAATTTATCTATTTTTTTGTTGCTTGTGCTTTTGATGTGAGAGCCAAGATATTTGGATGAACTCTTTTAATCTGTCATTTCCTATTTGTAGTAGTGCTAGTGACAGAAATGCATTTAAAGTGCTTTTTATATAAATTTACTACTATTGGATAAATTATCTTTCCTCCCAAAACACCTGAAATATTCCTGGGGAAATAATTATTTTTTCACTGTCTTAAGGAGAAGATAAAAGGATCTTAGGTCTTCATGAACTTTTTATTACTGTAGAAAATAGTCAGTACTTTTAATATTTATTCAATCAGTTTTATATTTGTTAAGGATAGACTATTTGCCTGACATTATTTTAGACACTTGGGATATAGCAGAAAACAACACTGCTGGTATTTCCAAATGCCTTCAAAAGTTGAAATGCTGTTTGCTGAAGAAAAAACAAACCTTCATTTGCAAT